GAGAAAGTTATATTGGCGGTCAGGTATACCTTATGTTGGATGAAGGTATGCGCCGATCATTCTGGACTATGGAAGCTGGCTGGCTGTCACAGGCTTATGTCTTATACCGGCTTCTCCTCGGACAGGATCGGGACGTCAGACCTTCCAGATGATCGCGTGGAGGGACGGTCGCCCTGAACTTCCCGTGACGATCGTTTTTATACGATCGTCGTTGGCACTGAGCCAACAGGTCGTTTACTTGTTATGCTGACTAATTAGCACGTGCACGTTGACTAATTAACAAACCGACGATGACTTGACTTTCATCCTTCCCACCGTGTGGATGTGTAAAATTCGACATCCGATCTATTTCCGTTATAACTTGCGATAAATTATTTTTTTATCCTCTAATGTAAAAATATGTTAAACTCAAAAATGTACGCCCTCAAAACCCTCGGGCTCACAAATCTATATTGATGACATAAAAAACAAAAGGGAGAAAATATTCTTTAAGGAAGAAAATAATATCTTCAACAAATAAGTTAGAAATGGATAGGAAATCAAAAGTTAGAAATGACTTTTTAAAATAAAACTGTTTCAGTGTTATAAGAATGAAATGTAATAAATAAATAAATATGGAGTATTTTTCAATATCCAGTTTATTAGCAATATTTACGAGTACAGTAGAGCGTTGATTTTCCGAATCAATTGGGGACTGGGGTTGTTCGTATAACTGATATTTCGGATAACAGATTTATGTACGAAAAAATAGTTTAATGTATTCGATGTTGAAATTTTTCTCCGTTGCGTGTCGCTTCGCGTTGAATTTTCGTTGATGTTAAGCCTAACGAAGACTTGTATCGTAAAAAATTATTTTTTTTATTTTGTACAAACAAAATAAATATATTGAAAAATATAAAAAACAATAAAAAGTTATACTTCAGATGTTAATTTAGTATCAAAAACGTAAAATATTTGAGTAGCCCAAGACGTAGACAAAGATTGAAGCACCACAGTACTGGCGAAAATTTAAATTTGCCAACTGGAATTCTTTCGGATGATTGACTTTCGGAAAATCGACGCTCTACTGTATTTATTTTATTTATTTCAGTTTGATTTTAATAATTATTGAAATAGAAATACAAAATTACACAAAAGTTATTCTTAAAAAATCAGTTATTTCTGAATATTTAAATATTAATTATTATTCCAAAATTTACATACATTTTCATCAGCATTTTACTTTGCTATGTTATTCTGTAATGGATTTTAATAATTCATGATTATTTTTCTAGGAACTTATTTATAAATAATTTATAAGTTAACTTTCAAACAACTGCTTTTTAGCCACTATCTTATCTTTACTATCATTTATCTATATGAAAAGCTTCTTTAATCCTGCCTTTATTACAACTACTCAAAATAATGGAATTCAGTTTGGATTTTATAAAGTTCAACCCATTGAAAGTCCAAAACAGTCCCTTGATTAAATTTAAACTATCTAAGACTTCCTTTAATGAAGTTTTATATGTCTAAATTAATTTAATTGTTCAGAGAAACAATTGTAGAACATATTTTTCAAGCTTTATTTTATACAGTTTTAAGTTTCATTGCAAACTTGTACAAGTGCTGTTTTATATATAATTTTCTACATTAAACCTGACATAAATTTACTACGGACAGATCTTAACTTTACTGTTAGCGTCCTTGATCTCATTCTAGCAGACTCTCGCCAGACTGGATGTTAGAATCCTGGTTTTGTCATATTTTAATTGAATTGTACAAATCCTGTTCTATTTTTATATATGGCCCCATTTATTTTTAACTTAAAAGTTTATTTTTCAGTTGCAATATGGATAATAGATATTCAATAGTTTTTACTTATTTAAAAAGAAATCTTAAATATTTTTCCTATAACATTACTTTATGTAAGGAAAATGCAGCTGTTAAAAACTTCTCTAATCAATTCAAAAACTTAACTCTTTACTGTTTTTACTTTTAATACTGTTTTTATTTTTCATGTTTTCTTGTAACTTGTCCCTGTCAGGATGACATAAAGATTTAAGTATTACATTCTGACTATAATGCTTTCTTAGAAACATTAATTTGAATATTTGCTTGAATATTTAAAATTACATTTTTGAATTCAAATACTGCAAATCTTTATTCTGTCTTTCAAAGTTTAGAATTTATTGCTAAGAAACAAGATTTATATGATCAAGCTACAAAATTATGATAAGCATTATTTATTTTCTATTGTCAAAATCATAAGGAATGGTGATTGACTTGATCACTCATTGGTGCTCAGTGTCATCTTTATCCTTGTACAGCGTATAAACATAACTTTTATTTGAATTTTAAAACTTTATATAGGTTAACTGTAAATATTCTATAGAGAAGCTTTATTAATTTTGTTTTATCATCTATAATAAAATCAACTTTTGAGTTGGCATTAAATTGGGTAATCACTTGCCATTGAATTTATCCCAAAGAAATCCTGTTGTTGATTATCAAAATCCATTATTGATTACTTTATCATTATTTTTACTTGAATTTTGCAAAATTTTTGTCTGTGATGCTGATTAAAAATAAAGTATAAAGTTTAATGAAAAACGGCAGTTGTGAGTCTTGCTTTGAGCTGATTCTTTTCTTTCAGAATTTTATAAATTATTTAATAAACATTAATTTAATTATAATTATTAGTTAAATTTAATAAGAGATGGCACCTAACACTTACCTCTAGTGCCAAATTACTCTGTATTTAATAGTTATTTGTAGCAGCAGTGTAGACCAATTTAATCCAGTAACCATTTGGCTTTAGTTTAAAGAAATATTAATTATGTATTGTATTTGTACAAACTAAATCCAAATGTTTATATGAAGAAATAATAATAAATTTTTCTTTATGTAGAGCAAAATTTTGAGTTATTTGAATTGAATTACTTAAGAATTTTCCAGGTTTTTCTTGAAAGAACTGTACTTGTTAGGTTTTAACACAAAAAATTAAGCAAAATTTAAATATCGAAATTTCTTATTTGTTTCTTATTATTAAATCATTTATAACAATTTATATTTTTAATGAGTTACAGTAATAATCTATCTTTCTAAACAACGATTTTACTATTTTGTACACTTTTTAAACATCTTTAATATGCTTTAATCATATACTTGATGATAAGGAATCTCTTCCTCAAACACACAATCAAGTTCAAACCTTTTCGAAAAAAAACTATTTTTATTTTTAGATGACTCAAATATGAGTAATCTGTGCCTTTATTTGAACTTAATTTCTCTTATTGATCTCAAATGATTGTATAGCCTGAAAATACTTGAGTTTGGAGCAAATAGCACAAAATCTTTTTGGAGCAAAAATGGTTTAGAAATGTTTTATGCAAAGAAAATATATATTCAGATCATGTTGTTGCATATAAATTTCAACTTGTTTTAAATACAAAATTGTCAATGTATATGCATATATTGTAGAATGGATTTCTGGTTCTGGAAGATGAAAATATGAATATTTTTATTTTCTTTTATAAATTTGAAAATAATTTTTTAAAAATTTCATAAATAATTCATGTATAGAATTTGTACTATTTGATTATGAATTAGCATTTTGTTTAGGAACACAATTTAGATCTTTCATGTTGCACAGTGCTCTTTGGATAATGATGATGATACTGGAAATTTCAATTTTTCTATAAAATTTTATCACAATTTTCAATAAATTTAATATTAGAAAGTATACTATTTTCTCTTGGTTATCTAGCTTTAATACTTCTACTACAAACAGATACGTTTCCTAGACTAAAGACCAGTTTATCAGACAGTAAAACAAAGGTGACAAAGAGCATCAGTGATGGTCAAATTATTTGTTCATTATTTGTCAAATTATCTGTTGATTTTTAAGGTTTTGAGATAATAAGATTGTATGAGAATTAATTTAAGGTCACAAATTATTTAGCTATATATGAAATACAAGTGCATATAAACTGCAAAATGCAAATACACAGTACAAAATACATTGATGATATTCTCATAATTTTCTATAAAATTGATATTAGATCTAAAGCCACTATAATTGTGCTAACTTCTCAGATTATTTTCCACTAAACATTACACAATATATAAAATATTGATAAGTAAAGTTTATACAAAATCTTAAAATTTATTTTGTTATGAACTATTTGGATAGAAATATTTAAGGTTAGTTTATAAACAAATATAAAATTACAAGTTAGAAATAAGCATGATTATTTTGACTGAATTATTAATAGAAAACAGTAAAGAGTTAATATTTCTTTTCCAATATGATTAAATTCTTAAGATTTTAAATTAATTTATGGTTTATTTTAACATTAACTTTGATCTAACATATGTTTTTGTCAGTTAGTGTTGTTTTTATTTCTTTTTATGTGTCTATATTGTATATTAATTCTTCAAACTTGTTTCAGATAAATAAATAAAACTACTTGTCTGCGACTAGTAGAATATTCTTTATTGACAACTCTTATATCCAACAAATACATTTAGAATTATCTGAAAGCTGTAAAGATAACCAATCATGTGTTTATGTAAATGATACAATTTGATCTAAAAACACTATGTATTAAACTTAAGTTAACCAAAGATCATACTGTATATTGAAAACTATTTTTCTAAGTGTTGTATGAAAACTGGAAATTTTATACTAAAATCTTATAAAAGTTCTAACATGAGTGACAAAGTGCAAAACCATCATTGTTTGTTTTGAATTTATACACTCGATAAAGAATATTTTACAGATCAGAGGCAGGCAGTCGATCCTGTACGTTAACTTTGCTGTTTATTGTCTATCTAATTTACTTAATTCTCTATATCTTCACTTTTTAATCTGTGGTCTGTCATTGTAGCAAACTACACTATTAGTAGTTTAAGTTTATCTTAGTTGAAAAGGAAGTTTCCTGTATGTGATGTCTTTGCACAAATAGTGTAATGCATGCTGACCTCTTATGCAATTTCTTGCATGTTTCTCTCTTCAGCTGTTGAGACCAAGAAAGAAGAAGGTATATCTTTTTCTATCATTAAATTAAACGACTTACATTTTTATATAAGCAAGATATTTTAACAATATTAAAGATGTTGATTTTAATTTTTTGAAAAAATTAAAATTTTAAAAAGTACAATTTGTATCAAGCGACATAAGTCTCTAATATTCTGTTATTTATTAATGTTTCTTGTTGTTGTTATTTACTATAAATGTTTATAACAATGTAATTAATAAAAAATTTTAAATTAGCTCTTAATTATATTTACTTAAAAAATTTCTCTGAATTTCTATTAAATAAAATTAAATTACTAATTGTTCTTAATCATAAATAATGAACTAAAAATCTTGTTTAACATATTTTTTTTTTGTGTGTATTAAACTAAAAAATTAAACTTTTTTTTTACCAAAAATATGAGAAGTTCATACNCAAGGTTTTTAATCTAATTATAGTAAATGTTTTTTTTATTAATATTTAAACATTTTATTGATTTTCATTCCTATTTTGGTAGATAATGAGGATCTAGATTTTGATCAGGAATATACAGTTCACGTCGGAATTGCTCACACACGATGGGCCACACATGGAGCTCCAAGTATTCCCAACAGTCATCCTCAGAGATCGGATGTGAATAATGGTATAAATAATTTTATTCTTCTTATAAGTGTAAAAAATATTATTGTACTGGTAGATGAGAAATTTAATTCTTATATTTTTCTTCAGAATTTGTTGTGGTTCATAATGGAATTGTTACCAATTACAAAGATATTAAACAACTTTTGGTAAGACTTTTTTCTTTATATTTATTTTAAGTAATCAAAAAAATTTTAGAATTTTGATTTACAATTAAAAATATATTTTCATTTTGATTCTTTCAGCTGAAGAGAGGATTTGAATTTGAATCTGATACTGATACCGAAGTAATTGCCAAATTAGTTAAACTAATTCATGATGATCATCCTGATCTTTCTTTCAGAGAATTAGTTGAACAAGTCATTCAACAATTGGTATGTTTTAATTGAATTATTATAAATGATATTTTAATTTTTATCATACACTTGAATATTTCTTTTTATATGTTTGGGACATTTGATGATTAGATGATTAAAAATTCTCTTCCTGTTACAAGGAACTATAAATTCAGATACCATTTTTAAAATGCTTTACAATAATTTTAAGTTTCAAAATATTCCTTAAAATAAATGAGATGATAATTTAGGACCAAATTTTACAACTTCTCTTAGATGTGGAAGTGGAATTAATAATGCTATTTCATTATATCATGTATGATTGAAAATGAGTAAAATTTCAATTGCTTTGTTCTCTGCTATACAATTTCTTCTATATTTTTTTTTACTTGCATTGATAACAAATCAAGAAATCATTGGAATGGTGAATTCATTCAGCTTTTTTTAAAAGAACTGTTCTTTTCAATGTTTTGGAACATAGCCAAAAATCAACATTCCAACAATTTGTAACTGTAAATTATATCTGAGATGTATAATTGAGATTCATTCTATAGTAGTATTAACATTTAATGACAACAGATTTAATTTTTGATACATATACTGACCTTTTTTCATTTTTTCTATATCAGAGCATTTTTAATTTTATTTAAGTTTTTAATTAAATGCATGAAACAAAAATATATTCATTAAGTTTGGTGTCACATATCTTTTGATTTACTCATACTAAAAACTGGCATCTGATTTGCACAAATTTTTATATTTGAAGCAGAATTTGATTTTTGAAATATGATGAATGAGTATCAATAGTTTAATAGTCATTTTATCAAATTATAGGTGGAATATGAATATATATTTAAGTTATTTGAGTTAAAGTATGTGAAAATACCATTTTAACAAAACATTTTAATGAAATTATCTATGTAAATGATTATCTTAAATTTATATTACAGGAAGGTGCTTTTGCTCTTGTGTTCAAAAGCAGAAAATATCCAGGACAATGTGTGGCTACTCGGTAAAGAACTTTTATATAAAAACAAATATCCAGGAAAATTAGGATTTTATTTTTAATGAATTTTAATATTTTAACAATATAATTTAGGAGAGGAAGCCCTCTTCTTGTTGGCATAAAAAGTAAAACACATTTATCAACTGATTACATTCCTGTATTCTACAGTAAGGGTAAGAATTTTCCAGAATATTATAAATGGAATTCTAAAAAAAAAATTATTTTTTATGTAATAATTTTGAACTACTAAACTCACTAAGCAATAATATATTTGCTCGAATATTAATAAATTTGTGGTTGTGGTGGCAGGTTTTTGTCATTTATGCAAAACTCCTCTGCACTCTTCTGCATTCTCCAGACATTTCGGTGTACATTTTGTTCTGTTGGAATAAAATCTTTCTCTTCAATTTTCTATAAAATCAATAAAAATTATATGTATATTTGTTTTATTTTCATGTATTAACTCTACATCCATTTTTCTTTTCTTATTTCTTTTGGGGATCTCTTTTTCTTTGCTTCATAAAGAATTTCTGCTCTCATTGCTTTGCTAAGGGTTCCATGTCTCCAATTATTAACAGATTAAAAGTTAATTTTTTTTGTTATATTTATATATTTTGGTCTAGATGGTTTGGTTTATTCATTTCTAATCTGTCACTCTTTTTGTCTATTTTCTGCATGATCTTCCCTTATTTGACTTTTTGACAATTTGACTACTGTACAGATGCAGACAACAAGCAGAATTCAGGTACACATTTCTTCTATTTTTTTAATTATTTTTTTTAAATATTTTTTTTTTAATAAGAAATGCAAAAATAATTTTTTTTGTTGTTATTATCTTACTTTAATTTTAATTTTTAGTTTGATTTTCATTTAGCAATTAATAGAAAATATGTATTTAGTGTTTAACAAATTACCTGAATTCGTAACAAATGTAGAATTTGATCATATGGTTATTGAAATATAAATGTTTTGAAAAGATTACGAGAAGTTGAATTGAATTTATTAATTATGCTTGTTGAATTGTCTAATAAATGGAATAGAACAATAATAAGTGTGTCGATTTTCATCATTATGATGCACAAGAATTCACTTTTTCAGTTTTAGCATAAATATTGCCACTTTGGTTCAAATAATGATTATTATTGAATATTATGCAAATTATCTAAGAAATCTGGAGACATAGAACAAAATTTGTTTTCAAACAATATATAGTGATTCCAGACTATTTAGATTATCTTATATATTAAAATCTGAATTTTGCTGTACTAGTGTTTCGAATTATCAACCCTGTCATTTGCTCCTCAAGTTTGTAATGATAAATTTAAATTAATATAATGGTTACATTTAAACACACATGTATTCCATAGAGCAAGGTTTAACAATTCCAGGTTCTCATTAGCATTTGTGCAGCCTGCATCACACACAATATTTCAAAAAATATATAAAATAAAAGTAAAACAAAAATGTAAAATACCGACATTGAGCAGTCTATAGTTGTAGTAAATACCAAGAGCATGTTTTGTACATGTCCTGTAGTTTAACTTGATTTCACTTGACACTTTGTGTAGAGCTGTAAGGCTTTAGTTTTTTGGTTTCTTTGCAAATTATGTACTATTAACCTAGATTTATTAAACTATTCCTTAGCTGAGAAAATGAAATACAGATTTCTTTTTTAGCGACTTTTTCAGTAAATATGGAAAATGTATCAAATGAACTTCAATTGGAGATAGACTTGCAAAGTAATTTTGATCTGAAAGACACCTTTTCAAAGAAAAAGTTTGATAGACTTTGATATTCTTTGATAAAAGTTTCATAAATTTCCTAACTTAAGAAAGTATGCAATAAAAATTCTATTGTTTTTTCTGCAAGTTGTGAATATGTTTTTTCCACAAATTCATTTGTGGAAAAAGTAAAACAAGAAATCAGCTAACCAACGCTCCTCTCAAAAATATTTTAAAATTAGCAGGAACTTAATATTCTGCCAAATTTTTCAGATATATTATATTTGTATCAGTTCCAGAAGTCACATTAAGTATATATATGTTAATTTATAATTATATATGAACAAATAATTCTGATTACCTGCATTTTTTTGTGTGGCCTGTGCTAGTTTGAAAGTTTTAATTATGATCCTTATGTAGAAAAAGGTTGTCCATCCCAGCCATAGAGAATTATGTAGGGTTTCTCTTTTCAAATGTAATTTGAATGAAAAACTAAGTAATTTGTAATATTTGTCCTTATTTTAAAAATTATTTTCAAATGAAAACTTTAACGTATGATATGTCTTGTAGTATAGAAAATACCATATAGCATGTTTGTGTGATTGGTCACATGTATAACTTACAGTAAAAGTTGTTTATTTGCTAATTACAATTGATAAAAATTTCAATGAGTTTATTATATATTTCTCTGTATAACATCATGTTTTTAAACTATTATTTATTAAAATTATAATATATAACTAATTCAGATTAAGTGACCATAATTCATTATAATGTAGAGAAGATAACAACCTAAACTTTTCAAATAATATAACATGAATATTTAGAGAAGAATCTTTTCTTTAAGTTTGCAAACTATAGGTCATTTAACTTGCTCATTTGACTTGCTCGCTTAACTACTTGTTAACTAGATAAACCTCAAACTAGTTTAAGGTATATTTAGTTAACAAGTAGTTAAGCGAGCATGTCAATGACATGTAATTAACTGTCGTTAGTTTGCTTACTGAGTTGCTTATTGTCTAGAGTCTAGACAAACATCCTGAAATTTTAGTTGTTCAAATTAATCTTTAAAAAAAAATATTAAATTGCTTCTATTTATAATTATAAAAACAGTTTTAATAGTTTTTGATTAGCCTAATTCTTTTATTGAATATTTTAAGCCTATTGAAATATTTGGATTTTAACTGTGATGGACATAATTTAAGTATAATCAAAACAAGAAAATTCTATTCATAAATGTTTGAAGGTAAAATCTTGTTAATTTTTTTTCACTATTTATTATCCTTTTTGTCAAAATGTATTCATAAATATCAAAATAATTTTAATTTTTAAAAATAAAGGATAGTGGGCATAACATTTCTAAAATAAATTTGTGTACAAAATTTAATGTGATCAAGTCTTAAAAATTTGAATACTTTCAAATTTTACAATTTAAAATCTTGTTCAAATTCTTACACGAATGCTTTTTAATAATAATTTCTTCAGCACTGGTAAATGAATTTTCTATTATTCATGGCAACAAATGATTAACTTCTAGCAACAAAGTGCATATATTTTTTTTACAGAAATCGTAGAATAAAAATTTATAATTAATGTATAATGTATATGTTATGGAAACTAAATGTTTATTTTCAAAGATTTAAATTCAGAAAATCTGCTTTGATTTTATACCAATCAAAGCACTGGAAAATAATTAAATTAATCCAGAAACAGTTCTATTTCAGGCATGGGTATCTTTACTGTAAGAGATCATACAACACATTTCAATGTGAGATCATGCTGAAACACTAAAAACTTTGGATTTTATTGCAAATCATACATTACACATACTATATGGATCATAGCAAAAGTCAGAGGACTGCAGGTTGCCTATATCTATTTACTCTAGAACATTTCTTCAAGAATATTCAAGGTTTCCAAATAAATGTTTTCAAAGATGTGCATAAGCATAATAGAAACGGAATAAATATCAATACTTCTTTGAGATATTGTCGTAGATTATTCCTTTGTGCCTATTTCAGCAAGAGACAACTGCTCCAACCATGTACAAATAAACTGTGCTTGAAAGCATTAGAAATGTATTTTCATTTTTAATTCTGAACAATGCATTTCATAAGTTTATATTTCCAAGTGAAGAAGGACATGTTTAAAAAGTACAGGAACAAGCAATTTTCCACATAAGAACATGCTTGTATTTGCAAGAAAATACAATAAGTTTGGAGAGTGTACAAGCTAATATTGAAGTGTCTGCAGCCACTCACTTACTAAATTTATAATCAGCCTCATAATATATACAGTAGAGCGTCGATTTTCCGAATCAATTGGGGACTGGGGTTGTTCGTATAACTGATATTTCGGATAACAGATTTATGTACGAAAAAATAGTTTAATGTATTCGATGTTGAAATTTTTCTCCGTTGCGTGTCGCTTCGCGTTGAATTTTCGTTGATGTTAAGCCTAACGAAGACTTGTATCGTAAAAAATTATTTTTTTTATTTTGTACAAACAAAATAAATATATTGAAAAATATAAAAAACAATAAAAAGTTATACTTCAGATGTTAATTTAGTATCAAAAACGTAAAATATTTGAGTAGCCCAAGACGTAGACAAAGATTGAAGCACCACAGTACTGGCGAAAATTTAAATTTGCCAACTGGAATTCTTTCGGATGATTGACTTTCGGAAAATCGACGCTCTACTGTATTTATTTTATTTATTTCAGTTTGATTTTAATAATTATTGAAATAGAAATACAAAATTACACAAAAGTTATTCTTAAAAAATCAGTTATTTCTGAATATTTAAATATTAATTATTATTCCAAAATTTACATACATTTTCATCAGCATTTTACTTTGCTATGTTATTCTGTAATGGATTTTAATAATTCATGATTATTTTTCTAGGAACTTATTTATAAATAATTTATAAGTTAACTTTCAAACAACTGCTTTTTAGCCACTATCTTATCTTTACTATCATTTATCTATATGAAAAGCTTCTTTAATCCTGCCTTTATTACAACTACTCAAAATAATGGAATTCAGTTTGGATTTTATAAAGTTCAACCCATTGAAAGTCCAAAACAGTCCCTTGATTAAATTTAAACTATCTAAGACTTCCTTTAATGAAGTTTTATATGTCTAAATTAATTTAATTGTTCAGAGAAACAATTGTAGAACATATTTTTCAAGCTTTATTTTATACAGTTTTAAGTTTCATTGCAAACTTGTACAAGTGCTGTTTTATATATAATTTTCTACATTAAACCTGACATAAATTTACTACGGACAGATCTTAACTTTACTGTTAGCGTCCTTGATCTCATTCTAGCAGACTCTCGCCAGACTGGATGTTAGAATCCTGGTTTTGTCATATTTTAATTGAATTGTACAAATCCTGTTCTATTTTTATATATGGCCCCATTTATTTTTAACTTAAAAGTTTATTTTTCAGTTGCAATATGGATAATAGATATTCAATAGTTTTTACTTATTTAAAAAGAAATCTTAAATATTTTTCCTATAACATTACTTTATGTAAGGAAAATGCAGCTGTTAAAAACTTCTCTAATCAATTCAAAAACTTAACTCTTTACTGTTTTTACTTTTAATACTGTTTTTATTTTTCATGTTTTCTTGTAACTTGTCCCTGTCAGGATGACATAAAGATTTAAGTATTACATTCTGACTATAATGCTTTCTTAGAAACATTAATTTGAATATTTGCTTGAATATTTAAAATTACATTTTTGAATTCAAATACTGCAAATCTTTATTCTGTCTTTCAAAGTTTAGAATTTATTGCTAAGAAACAAGATTTATATGATCAAGCTACAAAATTATGATAAGCATTATTTATTTTCTATTGTCAAAATCATAAGGAATGGTGATTGACTTGATCACTCATTGGTGCTCAGTGTCATCTTTATCCTTGTACAGCGTATAAACATAACTTTTATTTGAATTTTAGAACTTTATATAGGTTAACTGTAAATATTCTATAGAGAAGCTTTATTAATTTTGTTTTATCATCTATAATAAAATCAACTTTTGAGTTGGCATTAAATTGAGTAATCACTTGCCATTGAATTTATCCCAAAGAAATCCTGTTGTTGATTATCAAAATCCATTATTGATTACTTTATCATTATTTTTACTTGAATTTTGCAAAATTTTTGTCTGTGATGCTGATTAAAAATAAAGTATAAAGTTTAATGAAAAACGGCAGTTGTGAGTCTTGCTTTGAGCTGATTCTTTTCTTTCAGAATTTTATAAATTATTTAATAAACATTAATTTAATTATAATTATTAGTTAAATTTAATAAGAGATGGCACCTAACACTTACCTCTAGTGCCAAATTACTCTGTATTTAATAGTTATTTGTAGCAGCAGTGTAGACCAATTTAATCCAGTAACCATTTGGCTTTAGTTTAAAGAAATATTAATTATGTATTGTATTTGTACAAACTAAATCCAAATGTTTATATGAAGAAATAATAATAAATTTTTCTTTATGTAGAGCAAAATTTTGAGTTATTTGAATTGAATTACTTAAGAATTTTCCAGGTTTTTCTTGAAAGAACTGTACTTGTTAGGTTTTAACACAAAAAATTAAGCAAAATTTAAATATCGAAATTTCTTATTTGTTTCTTATTATTAAATCATTTATAACAATTTATATTTTTAATGAGTTACAGTAATAATCTATCTTTCTAAACAACGATTTTACTATTTTGTACACTTTTTAAACATCTTTAATATGCTTTAATCATATACTTGATGATAAGGAATCTCTTCCTCAAACACACAATCAAGTTCAAACCTTTTCGAAAAAAAACTATTTTTATTTTTAGATGACTCAAATATGAGTAATCTGTGCCTTTATTTGAACTTAATTTCTCTTATTGATCTCAAATGATTGTATAGCCTGAAAATACTTGAGTTTGGAGCAAATAGCACAAAATCTTTTTGGAGCAAAAATGGTTTAGAAATGTTTTATGCAAAGAAAATATATATTCAGATCATGTTGTTGCATATAAATTTCAACTTGTTTTAAATACAAAATTGTCAATGTATATGCATATATTGTAGAATGGATTTCTGGTTCTGGAAGATGAAAATATGAATATTTTTATTTTCTTTTATAAATTTGAAAATAATTTTTTAAAAATTTCATAAATAATTCATGTATAGAATTTGTACTATTTGATTATGAATTAGCATTTTGTTTAGGAACACAATTTAGATCTTTCATGTTGCACAGTGCTCTTTGGATAATGATGATGATGATACTGGAAATTTCAATTTTTCTATAAAATTTTATCACAATTTTCAATAAATTTAATATTAGAAAGTATACTATTTTCTCTTGGTTATCTAGCTTTAATACTTCTACTACAAACAGATACGTTTCCTAGACTAAAGACCAGTTTATCAGACAGTAAAACAAAGGTGACAAAGAGCATCAGTGTTGGTCAAATTATTTGTTCATTATTTGTCAAATTATCTGTTGATTTTTAAGGTTTTGAGATAATAAGATTGTATGAGAATTAATTTAAGGTCACAAATTATTTAGCTATATATGAAATACAAGTGCATATAAACTGCAAAATGCAAATACACAGTACAAAATACATTGATGATATTCTCATAATTTTCTATAAAATTGATATTAGATCTAAAGCCACTATAATTGTGCTAACTTCTCAGATTATTTTCCACTAAACATTACACAATATATAAAATATTGATAAGTAAAGTTTATACAAAATCTTAAAATTTATTTTGTTATGAACTATTTGGATAGAAATATTTAAGGTTAGTTTATAAACAAATATAAAATTACAAGTTAGAAATAAGCATGATTATTTTGACTGAATTATTAATAGAAAACAGTAAAGAGTTAATATTTCTTTTCCAATATGATTAAATTCTTAAGATTTTAAATTAATTTATGGTTTATTTTAACATTAACTTTGATCTAACATATGTTTTTGTCAGTTAGTGTTGTTTTTATTTCTTTTTATGTGTCTATATTGTATATTAATTCTTCAAACTTGTTTCAGATAAATAAATAAAACTACTTGTCTGCGACTAGTAGAATATTCTTTATTGACAACTCTTATATCCAACAAATACATTTAGAATTATCTGAAAGCTGTAAAGATAACCAATCATGTGTTTATGTAAATGATACAATTTGATCTAAAAACACTATGTATTAAACTTAAGTTAACCAAAGATCATACTGTATATTGAAAACTATTTTTCTAAGTGTTGTATGAAAACTGGAAATTTTATACTAAAATCTTATAAAAGTTCTAACATGAGTGACAAAGTGCAAAACCATCATTGTTTGTTTTGAATTTATACACTCGATAAAGAATATTTTACAGATCAGAGGCAGGCAGTCGATCCTGTACGTTAACTTTGCTGTTTATTGTCTATCTAATTTACTTAATTCTCTATATCTTCACTTTTTAATCTGTGGTCTGTCATTGTAGCAAACTACACTATTAGTAGTTTAAGTTTATCTTAGTTGAAAAGGAAGTTTCCTGTATGTGATGTCTTTGCACAAATAGTGTAATGCATGCTGACCTCTTATGCAATTTCTTGCATGTTTCTCTCTTCAGCTGTTGAGACCAAGAAAGAAGAAGGTATATCTTTTTCTATCATTAAATTAAACGACTTACATTTTTATATAAGCAAGATATTTTAACAATATTAAAGATGTTGATTTTAATTTTTTGAAAAAATTAAAATTTTAAAAAGTACAATTTGTATCAAGCGACATAAGTCTCTAATATTCTGTTATTTATTAATGTTTCTTGTTGTTGTTATTTACTATAAATGTTTATAACAATGTAATTAATAAAAAATTTTAAATTAGCTCTTAATTATATTTACTTAAAAAATTTCTCTGAATTTCTATTAAATAAAATTAAATTACTAATTGTTCTTAATCATAAATAATGAACTAAAAATCTTGTTTAACATATTTTTTTTTTGTGTGTATTAAACTAAAAAATTAAACTTTTTTTTACCAAAAATATGAGAAGTTCATACATTAAATTTAGAAAATTCTTAATGATGATAGAGGGAAAGATCAAAGTTTATTATTAAATTTTGAATGCATAAGATGCTTCTCCTGGAGAATATCTAAAGTAAAAGATTGTTATAATGGCATATTTAATTTTATATGTCAAATTATTGCAATTATGAATATTAAAATCACCTAAGTCAAATTGTCTACAATGAAAATAAAGAGAGAAATGGTATTCAGGTCAAGGTTTGACCATGATTTGGAGGCGATACTTGTCTGAAAAGTTATGCCCTGACCTCGTTTCTTTCCGGTATTTCTACACAATTAAAAATGTAAAAAAAAAAAATTTATGAATGTCACTTCTTCCATTATAGTAAATGTCAAATGGCTGTTTTTTTTTTCTTTCTTAATTTTAAATTTAAATATTTAAAAATAAAAATCTAAACTAAAATTTTAAACTTTCTCTAAATATGAAATTCAAAAAATAAAATCACAAATACAGCTGTCAAAAGCAAGTTAAAGAATTAGAAGTTTTTATTAAAAAACAAGAATAAACACCATGAAATGTCTTGATTTTTTTCGTTTAAAATTTATCAAATTGTGTTTGTAGCAGCCGATCTTCGTTTCGGACAGAATGCCATCCTGTCATCTACTGCGACCAAAGCCGGAGGAATTCAGCGATCTGACTCGACGACAGAATTTCACCCCATTGGAGAAGATAGCGAAGTAGAGTATTTTTTCGCCTCTGATGCCAGGTAAGATGATTTTGAGGTGATAAGTTTAATTTCTGCTTTGTAAAAGTGGTTATCGTCGTCGTCATTGTAAACCTGTTTCTTAATCATAAGGGTGTCTACTCATTTTAAAATTCATTTCAGTGCCATAATCGAGCATACTAATAGAGTAATATTTCTGGAAGACGACGATGTAGCCGCAGTCTCCGAAGGAGGTAAGGGTCGCTACCAGTTTATAAATACAAGTTTTTTAAATTAAAAGACTTAGTGCAAATCTTTAATTTTAGACTTGACAATTCATCGTCTTAAACGTACTTTGGATGAATCAACTGCAAGAGAGATAATAACGTTAAAAATGGAGATACAACAAATCATGAAAGGTAATTATTATTATTATTTTTGTATAATGAAAGTACTTTGCCATTTGAGAATATTTTTCAAAAAATTGTTTGTTTTTTAGGAAATTTTAGTTCTTTTATGCAGAAAGAAATATTTGAACAGCCAGAATCAGTGATCAATACCATGAGAGGAAGAGTTAATTTTGACACAAATGTGGTTGTGTTGGGAGGAATAAAGGATTACATTCCTGAAATTAAGAGATGCCGAAGATTGTTGCTGATTGGTTGTGGTACTAGCTATCATAGTGCTATTGCGGTAAGAATAATATACAGTTCTAAATTAAATAAGACAATTAACCAATTTATTAGGTTTAAAAATTTCATCCAGCAAATTAGACTGTCTTGTTTCTTTTTTGGTGTATACCATCACTGTTTTACAGTTTAAATATTTACATTTGTTATTTAGTGGAAAATAAAAAATAATTATTATTATATTCTGAAATTGAATATTATAATTTAATTTGTAATAAGACAAATTTTAGTTAGGATTTGTGAAAAATAGTCTCTTGAAGAAACCTTATGATTCAAACAAAGCAACAAATTTTAGTGAAGAAATTTAACATATTAGACAAAGTAAACTGTTCTTTTGTAGTTTTTTTTCCTTCCTCAGAATATAAAAAAAGATAATTTCATGCATTACTTTTCTGCTACCTAATCCATTAGGATGAGTTATCTCCATCTTATCATCAATCTATTCCTTAGCTTGTATCCAATTTCTCTGTAATCCAGTGTGATGCCAGACTTTTCCACTTAGTCCTCCCCATCTAAATTCTTCATATATTTCTAAAATCCACAATTTCCTCGACAACACTTACTTACTGTCTTATTTTGTCATACTTTCTATGGCCAGTCTTGAATATCCATACACAAATCTTAATGATCTCATTTCCATAGCTCTTATCTTAGACCTATTGTTCCTTTTATATGTTTTGCATTCCAATTTAATGATGTATTTGGCCATTATTCTATGAATTTTGTTGTGGTGTTCTTGACGTTTTTCTAAAATCCTAAAAATTTGGAACAGAAATTGTTTTTAAAGTCATTTTTTTCCTCAATATATTTATCAAGAAAAGTGCATTTATGATTGATACTGTTCTTTTTTTTTCAAAAATAATTTAGTGAAAAACTGAAGAATCCTCAATTTAGTTTAAGTGTCCTGTTGCTGAATGGGCAAAATATTTATTTAACTTTTAAATTTAAAATATATTACAATGGCAGACCATGTGATATTTTTAATTATTCTTTCTAAATATAGACAAGACAGATCTTGGAAGAACTGACAGAATTGCCCGTAATGGTTGAATTAGCCAGTGACTTTCTGGATCGTAACACACCCATTTTTAGAGATGATGTTTGCTTCTTCATATCTCAATCTGGTAATCTTTGAGTTTAAAAATTTATTATTTTTAATTCAAGTTTTTAATTATTCACATCAATTATTATTTTAAAAATATTTTTTATGTTTTAGGAGAGACTGCTGACACATTAATGGCTTTAAGATATTGTAAACAGAGGGGAGCCTTGATTGTTGGCATAACAAACACTGTTGGTAGCAGCATCTGTCGCGAGAGCCACTGTGGTGTTCATATCAATGCAGGACCAGAAATTGGAGTTGCCAGCACTAAAGTAAGTAACATTTTTATTATTTATGTAATAATATATGAGAAAATAATAAAATTTTTGCATTTTAAACAGGCCTATACAAGTCAGTTTATATCATTGGTAATGTTTTCTTTGGTCATGTGTGAAGATAGAATATCTATGCATCCCAGAAGGGCAGAAATTATTCAGGGATTGAAAAAGTTGCCAGGTAATATGCTGCTTCTTAATCATAAATAATGAACTAAAAATCTTGTTTAACATATTTTTTTTTTGTGTGTATTAAACTAAAAAATTAAACTTTTTTTTTACCAAAAATATGAGAAGTTCATACATTAAATTTAGAAAATTCTTAATGATGATAGAGGGAAAGATCAAAGTTTATTATTAAATTTTGAATGCATAAGATGCTTCTCCTGGAGAATATCTAAAGTAAAAGATTGTTATAATGGCATATTTAATTTTATATGTCAAATTATTGCAATTATGAATATTAAAATCACCTAAGTCAAATTGTCTACAATGAAAATAAAGAGAGAAATGGTATTCAGGTCAAGGTTTGACCATGATTTGGAGGCGATACTTGTCTGAAAAGTTATGCCCTGACCTCGTTTCTTTCCGGTATTTCTACACAATTAAAAATGTAAAAAAAAAAAATTTATGAATGTCACTTCTTCCATTATAGTAAATGTCAAATGGCTGTTTTTTTTTTTTTTTTCTTTCTTAATTTTAAATTTAAATATTTAAAAATAAAAATCTAAACTAAAATTTTAAACTTTCTCTAAATATGAAATTCAAAAAATAAAATCACAAATACAGCTGTCAAAAGCAAGTTAAAGAATTAGAAGTTTTTATTAAAAAACAAGAATAAACACCATGAAATGTCTTGATTTTTTTCGTTTAAAATTTATCAAATTGTGTTTGTATGGATTTCTGGTTCTGGAAGATGAAAATATGAATATTTTTATTTTCTTTTATAAATTTGAAAATAATTTTTTAAAAATTTCATAAATAATTCATGTATAGAATTTGTACTATTTGATTATGAATTAGCATTTTGTTTAGGAACACAATTTAGATCTTTCNCATCATGTTTTTAAACTATTATTTATTAAAATTATAATATATAACTAATTCAGATTAAGTGACCATAATTCATTATAATGTAGAGAAGATAACAACCTAAACTTTTCAAATAATATAACATGAATATTTAGAGAAGAATCTTTTCTTTAAGTTTGCAAACTATAGGTCATTTAACTTGCTCATTTGACTTGCTCGCTTAACTACTTGTTAACTAGATAAACCTCAAACTAGTTTAAGGTATATTTAGTTAACAAGTAGTTAAGCGAGCATGTCAATGACATGTAATTAACTGTTGTTAGTTTGCTTACTGAGTTGCTTATTGTCTAGAGTCTAGACAAACATCCTGAAATTTTAGTTGTTCAAATTAATCTTTAAAAAAAAATATTAAATTGCTTCTATTTATAATTATAAAAACAGTTTTAATAGTTTTTGATTAGCCTAATTCTTTTATTGAATATTTTAAGCCTATTGAAATATTTGGATTTTAACTGTGATGGACATAATTTAAGTATAATCAAAACAAGAAAATTCTATTCATAAATGTTTGAAGGTAAAATCTTGTTAATTTTTTTTCACTATTTATTATCCTTTTTGTCAAAATGTATTCATAAATATCAAAATAATTTTAATTTTTAAAAATAAAGGATAGTGGGCATAACATTTCTAAAATAAATTTGTGTACAAAATTTAATGTGATCAAGTCTTAAAAATTTGAATACTTTCAAATTTTACAATTTAAAATCTTGTTCAAATTCTTACACGAATGCTTTTTAATAATAATTTCTTCAGCACTGGTAAATGAATTTTCTATTATTCATGGCAACAAATGATTAACTTCTAGCAACAAAGTGCATATATTTTTTTTACAGAAATCGTAGAATAAAAATTTATAATTAATGTATAATGTATATGTTATGGAAACTAAATGTTTATTTTCAAAGATTTAAATTCAGAAAATCTGCTTTGATTTTATACCAATCAAAGCACTGGAAAATAATTAAATTAATCCAGAAACAGTTCTATTTCAGGCATGGGTATCTTTACTGTAAGAGATCATACAACACATTTCAATGTGAGATCATGCTGAAACACTAAAAACTTTGGATTTTATTGCAAATCATACATTACACATACTATATGGATCATAGCAAAAGTCAGAGGACTGCAGGTTGCCTATATCTATTTACTCTAGAACATTTCTTCAAGAATATTCAAGGTTTCCAAATAAATGTTTTCAAAGATGTGCATAAGCATAATAGAAACGGAATAAATATCAATACTTCTTTGAGATATTGTCGTAGATTATTCCTTTGTGCCTATTTCAGCAAGAGACAACTGCTCCAACCATGTACAAATAAACTGTGCTTGAAAGCATTAGAAATGTATTTTCATTTTTAATTCTGAACAATGCATTTCATAAGTTTATATTTCCAAGTGAAGAAGGACATGTTTAAAAAGTACAGGAACAAGCAATTTTCCACATAAGAACATGCTTGTATTTGCAAGAAAATACAATAAGTTTGGAGAGTGTACAAGCTAATATTGAAGTGTCTGCAGCCACTCACTTACTAAATTTATAATCAGCCTCATAATATATACAGTAGAGCGTCGATTTTCCGAATCAATTGGGGACTGGGGTTGTTCGTATAACTGATATTTCGGATAACAGATTTATGTACGAAAAAATAGTTTAATGTATTCGATGTTGAAATTTTTCTCCGTTGCGTGTCGCTTCGCGTTGAATTTTCGTTGATGTTAAGCCTAACGAAGACTTGTATCGTAAAAAATTATTTTTTTTATTTTGTACAAACAAAATAAATATATTGAAAAATATAAAAACAATAAAAAATTATACTTCANATATTTTTTATAATTGCCAAATTATTAAAATTAAAAATAAAATGTTTTATTAAAATTCTGTTATTAATCTACAACCATAAATCAAAAAAAAAGAAAAAAATTATTTTTTATTATTCATTAACAAATTCTACATAATCCATGTACAAAAGTATATATTTATTAAATTTATCTCTTATAAAGTTCAGGAAATTTATTAAAATATTAATGAACTGGAAAAAAAATCAGAAATTGTTTTGTTATGCAATCAAAATTATTAAAATGATAAATAATTTAAATGGTATTATCATTTTGTGTACTTTGTAAATTTCGTGTATGCTTGAGAATAGAAATTTTGGGTCCTGAAAATATTCTGCACCCTTTTTCATAAGTTGTATTGCACCACATTAAGTGTAGCCATCTGCAGACAGCAAGAAGTAATCAAGCATACTGCCAGCAAAAAAATCAACAAGGAAACAAATTCTCTGACATTCCATGACTTTTTCTGAACACTAATGAAAATCCCTGATTTTCCATGATTTTCTAGGTGCATAGGAACCCTATTAATAAGTACCATATGTTAATTCTTATAATAATCAGTTTTTATTTTGGTGTTGCAATTTTCAAATTGCAGACCTACACATTCCCACCATCTGTCCATCCATCCATTTTGAAAATGGAGTTAGATAGATGAAAATTGAAACACAAAGCTGGACCAAATTGAAACATGGAAAGCTTAGGACCAAAGCCCTAATTACTTAGTTACAAACTTCCAGTCTAAACCAGATTGATTTCTATTTAAAATTTTTACCTTACTACATAAAGATCAATTCTAAAACAAATTTAACACTATAATAAACTGAGATCAGTTATACATCACTTGACACACAAGTGTAAAATATTTACATGATCTCTCATTTTCTGTGATTAAAGACCTGAAAAATAATGTCGCCATAAAGAAAAAGTACTTAGTTTCAGATTCAGCACCAAAAGTTATTTGTTTTAAATTAAAAATTGCAGCCTGGCATTATGATGTCATAATAATTTTATATAGAAAAACCCTTGCAGAATGTGTTTTTTTTTTTCTTTCTTTCTTTTTTTTTTAGTGAGGTTTAAAATATCTGAGAGGCCTTCTCTTTTTTCCTATCTGCTTAAACCTATTATTTAAAAATTTAGTGTCATTAATATTCCTAGTTCATCAGAATATAACAGTTTTTATTACTTATCCTATTATATATATATATTTTAAGTTGACTTACAGTAGCATTCACAAGGACATTTTATGATTGCTTCCCAGAACAAAAATGCAAAATTCAATTGCATTATAGTAATACAGAGAATTATTCTGTGATCTCACTTCTTGAATTTATTACTAAAATAAGTCATTTACTTCAATCCCTGTAATTACCAACACAACGATGTTAATCAACTGTTTTCTGTATTAACAGGTCACTGTTAACTGGAAAATGCACGAAACTATTGAGGTAGAGCAAGACACACTTCTGAACATTTATTTTGCAGGTGTCTGCTCCAGTTGAGCACCTTCTCGGTACAAAAACTAACAAACATAAATTGATTTATTCTTGAATATTTGGTACTAATTAATTAATTAATTAGTACCAAATATTAAATAATTAATTAGTACTCGAGCGTGGTGCAGAAGGGGTTAATTAATTTAACCCCTTCTGCNAAAACAAGAATAAACACCGTGAAATGTCTTGATTTTTTTCGTTTAAAATTTATCAAATTGTGTTTGTAGCAGCCGATCTTCGTTTCGGACAGAATGCCATCCTGTCATCTACTGCGACCAAAGCCGGAGGAATTCAGCGATCTGACTCGACGACAGAATTTCACCCCATTGGAGAAGATAGCGAAGTAGAGTATTTTTTCGCCTCTGATGCCAGGTAAGATGATTTTGAGGTGATAAGTTTAATTTCTGCTTTGTAAAAGTGGTTATCGTCGTCGTCATTGTAAACCTGTTTCTTAATCATAAGGGTGTCTACTCATTTTAAAATTCATTTCAGTGCCATAATCGAGCATACTAATAGAGTAATATTTCTGGAAGACGACGATGTAGCCGCAGTCTCCGAAGGAGGTAAGGGTCGCTACCAGTTTATAAATACAAGTTTTTTAAATTAAAAGACTTAGTGCAAATCTTTAATTTTAGACTTGACAATTCATCGTCTTAAACGTACTTTGGATGAATCAACTGCAAGAGAGATAATAACGTTAAAAATGGAGATACAACAAATCATGAAAGGTAATTATTATTATTATTTTTGTATAATGAAAGTACTTTGCCATTTGAGAATATTTTTCAAAAAATTGTTTGTTTTTTAGGAAATTTTAGTTCTTTTATGCAGAAAGAAATATTTGAACAGCCAGAATCAGTGATCAATACCATGAGAGGAAGAGTTAATTTTGACACAAATGTGGTTGTGTTGGGAGGAATAAAGGATTACATTCCTGAAATTAAGAGATGCCGAAGATTGTTGCTGATTGGTTGTGGTACTAGCTATCATAGTGCTATTGCGGTAAGAATAATATACAGTTCTAAATTAAATAAGACAATTAACCAATTTATTAGGTTTAAAAATTTCATCCAGCAAATTAGACTGTCTTGTTTCTTTTTTGGTGTATACCATCACTGTTTTACAGTTTAAATATTTACATTTGTTATTTAGTGGAAAATAAAAAATAATTATTATTATATTCTGAAATTGAATATTATAATTTAATTTGTAATAAGACAAATTTTAGTTAGGATTTGTGAAAAATAGTCTCTTGAAGAAACCTTATGATTCAAACAAAGCAACAAATTTTAGTGAAGAAATTTAACATATTAGACAAAGTAAACTGTTCTTTTGTAGTTTTTTTTTCCTTCCTCAGAATATAAAAAAAGATAATTTCATGCATTACTTTTCTGCTACCTAATCCATAAGGATGAGTTATCTCCATCTTATCATCAATCTATTCCTTAGCTTGTATCCAATTTCTCTGTAATCCAGTGTGATGCCAGACTTTTCCACTTAGTCCTCCCCATCTAAATTCTTCATATATTTCTAAAATCCACAATTTCCTCGACAACACTTAATTACTGTCTTACTTTGTCATACTTTCTATGGCCAGTCTTGAATATCCATACACAAATCTTAATGATCTCATTTCCATAGCTCTTATCTTAGACCTATTGTTCCTTTTATATGTTTTGCATTCCAATTTAATGATGTATTTGGCCATTATTCTATGAATTTTGTTGTGGTGTTCTTGACGTTTTTCTAAAATCCTAAAAATTTGGAACAGAAATTGTTTTTAAAGTCATTTTTTTCCTCAATATATTTATCAAGAAAAGTGCATTTATGATTGATACTGTTCTTTTTTTTTCAAAAATAATTTAGTGAAAAACTGAAGAATCCTCAATTTAGTTTAAGTGTCCTGTTGCTGAATGGGCAAAATATTTATTTAACTTTTAAATTTAAAATATATTACAATGGCAGACCATGTGATATTTTTAATTATTCTTTCTAAATATAGACAAGACAGATCTTGGAAGAACTGACAGAATTGCCCGTAATGGTTGAATTAGCCAGTGACTTTCTGGATCGTAACACACCCATTTTTAGAGATGATGTTTGCTTCTTCATATCTCAATCTGGTAATCTTTGAGTTTAAAAATTTATTATTTTTAATTCAAGTTTTTAATTATTCACATCAATTATTATTTTAAAAATATTTTTTATGTTTTAGGAGAGACTGCTGACACATTAATGGCTTTAAGATATTGTAAACAGAGGGGAGCCTTGATTGTTGGCATAACAAACACTGTTGGTAGCAGCATCTGTCGCGAGAGCCACTGTGGTGTTCATATCAATGCAGGACCAGAAATTGGAGTTGCCAGCACTAAAGTAAGTAACATTTTTATTATTTATGTAATAATATATGAGAAAATAATAAAATTTTTGCATTTTAAACAGGCCTATACAAGTCAGTTTATATCATTGGTAATGTTTTCTTTGGTCATGTGTGAAGATAGAATATCTATGCATCCCAGAAGGGCAGAAATTATTCAGGGATTGAAAAAGTTGCCAGGTAATATGCTGCTTGTTTTAATAAACAATTATGGCAAATATTATAGAAAAAATTGGACAATTTCTTTTGTTTTTCAAAAGTATTCAAATTTTATTTTTAGAAAAAAGAGAACAAATTTCTACTTCTAAACAATAACTCCATGCTATTCAATCACAAAGTACTTGCTTAGTTGAGGGAAAATTTTCTCATGGTAGAAGTATTTTGTACAGATCGCTGGTAAGAAGATACAGCTTCCAAAAATGTTACAATAAAATAAATGAAAAACTTATCTGCACAAATCAGCAAATTGCTATTCAGTAAGGTTTTTATAATCCCCATCATACAATAAACTTCAGAAAAAGAAATCGGTTCCTTTTTAAACTGAATTTTTCAAATTTTGAAAAGAATAATAATTATAATTTGGAAATTTTATTGAGTTTTTTATTTTATATAAATTTTAGAATGAAAATTTTGCATTTTAACCATATCATATTAGTTCATGAAATGTAAGAGAGCTTTTTATTGATTGGTTTTAAATGATTAGAAATTTGAGTGGTTTTGAACATTTCTGGTTTCTTTTAGGAACTTTTATTGTTATTCTTTTAGAAGTCTGATGGTTACTTAACAGAATGCACCTGTAAAAATTATAGACAATCACAAATCTTAAGAAAACTACACTTTTGTTAGGCTTGATGTTATGAAAATTGCAAAATAAATTATAAAAAATTTACTGCTACTTTTTTTGCTAAAGGTTCAAACTGGATTTCATCAAAATAAAACACTTTACATCAGCTTTCTCCAGCAAATTTATTGTTTTTATGTTAATGTTTTTGGATGTCTTTAATGCCCATCAACATAATATAACAACAAGACATAAAATTCCAAAAAGGACAGTCATTCCAAGTGTTAAACATAATGATTTGTGAGTCAGAAAAATTTAAAACGTGGAACATCACATAATTTTAAATATACTTTATATAGATTAGAACAATGATAAAACATTTGAAAACTGAAAAATATATATTATTTTTCAGATTAACTTAATAGATTCAAAATTATTAATTTTGAATTTATTTAATCTGATAATAACAACTGAAATCACTTTTAAACCACGCGTGAAAACATATCACAACCATCAAAATAACTAACATAACTACAGTAGTGTAGATACTGTAAATATCCAACCATATTCATCTCTGTATAGTGTTTTAGAAGGGATTCTAGCAAATCTCATAATACAACTTCTGAGCAACAAATAGGCCATCAGCATCCTTGGAATTGATAATCTTTCTATTTTAGATTATCTATATCTCCATCTTTTCTAAGACATGTATGTATGTGAGGTCATGGATTAGATCGGTGTTTCTCAACCTCTAACGAATTGTCGCCCCCCCCTTCGCTACAAAATTCTGATGCTGAGGGCCAATGCTAATGCCAAATTAGTACTGCATTGAATAGACTAGTGACTAGTATAATGTTATTTGTTTAATTATTGTATGATATAACGAATAAAATATCTAATTATTCTTAATATAATGTTTTACTATATCGCCCAGAAAATTGTTTTTTCCCCCAAAATATAAATTGTTACCAATTGCCCCCTCAACATGGAAAAACACCCACATGGGGCAATATTGCCCCATTGATAAACACTGGAATAGATGAATAATTTCAATATCTTTCCAGTTTATATCTATCTGGTTTTGATACAAAAATTATTACAGCTGCAATTTCATACCTTTCTCTATGGGTATTATGCTCTTTAATCCTAACATCCAAAACTCTGGAAGTCTCTCACTTCCCTTGCCATTAGGGTACAGAAACTTTACAATGGAATCTCCACCAGTCTATGTGGAGCTCACAGGGTTCTTATCATTCCTTAACATCTGGAACACTGAGGTTTCTTTTTATAACCATGTCTGGAATGTTTCAAAAATATACCTGTTATCTTCACAGTTTGCTATTGTCAGTGCTTATGAATTGCATTTTCTTACTTAGAACAGCAAACTAATTTCAGTTTGACTGTTGCTTGTCTTTCATTGTTTAATGAAGTGATTCTAGAAATAGGTGGATAAAATAGTCATACATTGAATAAAATATCATGACTTTGTGTGTGTTAGTGTTATCATTCTTATTGTCATAACTTATATAATTATCAAGCAGACTGTATATACAATTTATAATTAATGACTCAACATATTTTTTTGTAAACTTATCATCTTTAAAAATACTTTCAGATCAAATTAAAGAAGTTTTGAAATTGGATGAACAGGTCCACAATCTGGCTCAGGAATTATATCAACAGAAATCTGTGTTAGTAATGGGACGTGGTTATAATCATGCTACCTGTTTGGAGGCAGCATTGGTATGTTAATTTTAATTAAATAAAATATTACTTTGAGGATAAATATTTATTTGTTCTTACTACTGTGCAGAAAATCAAAGAATTAGCTTATTTACATTCTGAAGGAATTTTGGCTGGTGAATTAAAACATGGACCACTTGCTCTAGTAGACAAAGCTATGCCAGTCATCATGACTGTGACGAGAGATCCAGTTTATCCTAAATGCATGAATGCTCTTCAACAGGTAATTAGGAGTTGCAATTTTAACTAAATTTTAACCTGAATTGGATTTCTTATGACCATTGTGTTTAAGGTTACGGCACGTGATGGAAGACCAATAATTGTTTGCGAGAAAGGTGACATCGAAACTCAGAAACATGCTTTTAGGCATCTAGAAGTTCCTCACACTGTAGACTGTCTTCAAGGTGTCTTAACTGTTATTCCTCTCCAGCTTCTTTCCTATCATATTGCTGTTTTGAGAGGATGCAATGTAAGTTAATTTACTATAGTCATTTTCATTTCTGGATAAAAACTAAGGCATACTTTTTTCAAATATTTAGGTCGATTGTCCTCGCAATCTTGCCAAATCAGTCACAGTGGAATAAGTGCCAAATACAATTTTTTAACTAAAGCATTCCATCAAAATGGTTCTTATAGTTAATTTTATTCTTTTATTACATAAACAAGTTTGTTGATAACACACAAAAGAAAATATGGAGTTCAGAAAATCATCGTTTTATTAAAAAAAGTGTGTATGGTGTTGCAATTTCATATCAAGGATCTAACATATTTAAAAATTCTACAAGGAACAACTTTATACAAATATCTAAATTAGTAATTTTTCAGTTATAACTGGTTATTTATTTCAAAACTTCAATTATTCTTCAGGGTTTTTCAAATTTTAAATCTTGTCAATGTCAGAATAATCAATACAATTTGTAACAACTAACTTCCTGGAGAAATTGATTCCACACTACTTTACTATAAAATGCACGATTTGAATTAATATAAAAATAGAGAGGAAGAACAGAAAATACTGGAAAAGTACAGTTTGATTGATCTCATAAAAATTATATAATTCACTTTAAAAATAATATGAACTACATTCTTGCACATTTAAATTTAACAGAAATCCTGTAAATATGTTTTATAAGAATTTTCTGAATAATTAAATTATGAAAACCTACTTGAGCTCTATCCAATATAGGTTACGTTCGTAAAGTCAAACAAGTTAAATGCGTTAGTAACAAATTGGTCAAAAAGTAGTAGTTTCACTCAGTGCACAAGCTCTGTGGTGATGACATTTCGAACAAAACTCTAACGAAGTTCACTTAAATTATGAATTAAAAGCTGAAATGATAGAAATGACTGTCTACCCGAAGCAATCTAAGAGAAATATTTCAGATAAGGCTGCACTAGCAACATTCATATCTTTGATTTTAGAAACAGCCATTTAGTTATAAATGAATCTGTCGAAAAGTCTAATGAAGTACAAATAATGATTGTCATTCTTGTTTAACTCATTTGACTTTATGAACGTACCCATAATACATTTGTTATTTTGATGTGATTTGAAAGTACTTAATTTGATATATTTCCCAACAATATTGGTTAAAATTGAAATACAAAAATTCCTATTGTAACCTAATTGTGTTGGATATAAGCAAGAGCGATAACTGATTAAAAAAAATTACAAAAAATTGTTTTAACATGAAGATTGCTTCACAATAAACTTTCATCAAGTCAACTAAAAATATGATTTTTAAAACATTTTCATTATCTTGTGTAGATGTAAATGGTCACAATAACTGTACAGTTTGCAATAATGTGTATTAAGTGCTGATAATTTGAGCTTGTTTGAAGTGATATATTTAAAATAAACTCTTTTGCATAAAACTCATTAATAGAACAATACAGATTTATGTAATTTCATAAAATAATTACATCAGCACTAGATAATGGAATCAAAACTCTGTAAATATCAAAGTTTTGGGTGTTCTCGGACTCAAACTTTTCAAATTTAAAATGGTTATTTATTTAATGAGTCTTCCTATAAATTTGTTCTGCAAATAACATTTCCAATATTTTATAATCACTGATTTTAAGACCTGTCTTTGTAATGTTTATAAATATAAAAATCAAAAACTCACTTGATTGTAGAAAATAAATTTCAAAAATAAATTTCTTTAATGAATATAATTAATAGGCAGCTCTTATCTATTTAATGTACTCTGGATTCATTCCCAAAATTAGTGTAATACAGACAAAAAAAGTAAATTTATAAAGTAAATTGTTGAGAAAATGTTTTGGTATATGGTTTAAATAAACATCTGTAAATTGTCTGTGTTGGTCTTATTTGTATATCTTAATTTCTGATAACATTGTTGTCTTGCATCTATCATAGTCAATACAACAAAATATGACTGAAAACTATAAAGGATTTTTCATAAGAGGCTACTTATTGATGTGGTGGTGATTTATACACATATATTAAAGGAAAATCATTAAAGTTCTCAAATTATGAAGTCAAACTATCCAAGAATAAATATGATCAGAATAATATAATCTTTTTTGATCTTTGAAATAAAAAAAATTAATGATTTCTACAAAATGAAATAAATTGGGATCATTAAGACTTCAGATTGGAAGCAGACTTGCTCCAACTGGAAAGTTGAAGTGAGAAAGGTATGTGCAGAAATCATCACAAAAACATATAGAAAAGCAGTTTTGATTGATGAAAAAACATGTGAATTGAAGTATTATAATATACTTTTGTTTTAACATATGAATATTATTTACTTTTGATTGGTTCTTTTTTTTCCTACAAACATCAATCCAGATTTAATAATTTTTTTCCAAAAGCACATCTTTTTCACATAATGTTTCTAATTTGTAATTGAACATTATATGTAATACATTCAATTTAGTGAAAACTTCAGCAGCTATAAATACTACAAATAAAGAAAGCTAAACATTTGACCCTGGATATGTACAGTACATATAAATATGTATACAGATGCAACAATAAAACTCAAGATTCAGAACAGAATGAGAGAAAGAAATATAATTTCTCAAAAAATTTCCAGTAGTGCTTCAAGAAGTCTTTAAAAATTTAAACTGGTACTCTAAAGATACAAACATAGCAAGTTTTGCATTTAAAGATAGGAGTGATTAAAAAATGCATCATTATTACTTATTTTAGAAAATAAGGCACAAGGAAATTAGCAGCAGCTAAAAACCTGGTATATGGAAAGTATAATTTTTACATTAGGATCTTTAGGCATTTTTTATCATGTAAACATTAAAAAGCTACCTGAAAATTTATTTATCTGCTAAATGCACAAAGCTATAGTTGCATTGTTTCCACATTTCTTCCAATATTTTTGTTTAATACAAGGTTACTACTAAAATTTTTATTTTAATTTCCATGACTTTCCCTGACCATCTTTGTTCAAATTCCCTAACCCTCACAGTATGGCACATTGATAAAATAAAACAGAATTTGACTTCCTATGCACACGTTTTGCTTCTCCAATGTTTTAATTAGTTTTTTCTAATTAACAGTTATATATATTTTATAATTGCCAGATTATTAAAATTAAAAATAAAATGTTTTATTAAAAAATTCTGTTATTAATCCACATCCATAAATCTACAAGGGTTTGAAAAAAAAAATTGTTATTTTTTATTATTCATTAACAAATTCTACATAATCCATGTACAAAAGTATATATTTATTAAATTTATCTCTTATAAAGTTCAGGAAATTTATTAAAATATTAATGAACTGGAAAAAAAATCAGAAATTGTTTTGTTATGCAATCAAAATTATTAAAATGATAAATAATTTAAATGGTATTATCATTTTGTGTACTTTGTAAATTTCGTGTATGCTTGAGAATAGAAATTTTGGGTCCTGAAAATATTCTGCACCCTTTTTCATAAGTTGTATTGCACCACATTAAGTGTAGCCATCTGCAGACAGCAAGAAGTAATCAAGCATACTGCCAGCAAAAAAATCAACAAGGAAACAAATTCTCTGACATTCCATGACTTTTTCTGAACACTAATGAAAATCCCTGATTTTCCATGATTTTCTAGGTGCATAGGAACCCTATTAATAAGTACCATATGTTAATTCTTATAATAATCAGTTTTTATTTTGGTGTTGCAATTTTCAAATTGCAGACCTACACATTCCCACCATCTGTCCATCCATCCATTTTGAAAATGGAGTTAGATAGATGAAAATTGAAACACAAAGCTGGACCAAATTGAAACATGGAAAGCTTAGGACCAAAGCCCTAATTACTTAGTTACAAACTTCCAGTCTAAACCAGATTGATTTCTATTTAAAATTTTTACCTTACTACATAAAGATCAATTCTAAAACAAATTTAACACTATAATAAACTGAGATCAGTTATACATCACTTGACACACAAGTGTAAAATATTTACATGATCTCTCATTTTCTGTGATTAAAGACCTGAAAAATAATGTCGCCATAAAGAAAAAGTACTTAGTTTCAGATTCAGCACCAAAAGTTATTTGTTTTAAATTAAAAATTGCAGCCTGGCATTATGATGTCATAATAATTTTATATAGAAAAACCCTTGCAGAATGTGTTTTTTTTTTTCTTTCTTTCTTTTTTTTTTAGTGAGGTTTAAAATATCTGAGAGGCCTTCTCTTTTTTCCTATCTGCTTAAACCTATTATTTAAAAATTTAGTGTCATTAATATTCCTAGTTCATCAGAATATAACAGTTTTTATTACTTATCCTATTATATATATATATTTTAAGTTGACTTACAGTAGCATTCACAAGGACATTTTATGATTGCTTCCCAGAACAAAAATGCAAAATTCAATTGCATTATAGTAATACAGAGAATTATTCTGTGATCTCACTTCTTGAATTTATTACTAAAATAAGTCATTTACTTCAATCCCTGTAATTACCAACACAACGATGTTAATCAACTGTTTTCTGTATTAACAGGTCACTGTTAACTGGAAAATGCACGAAACTATTGAGGTAGAGCAAGACACACTTCTGAACATTTATTTTGCAGGTGTCTGCTCCAGTTGAGCACCTTCTCGGTACAAAAACTAACAAACATAAATTGATTTATTCTTGAATATTTGGTACTAATTAATTAATTAATTAGTACCAAATATTAAATAATTAATTAGTACTCGAGCGTGGTGCAGAAGGGGTTAATTAATTTAACCCCTTCTGCACCACGCTCGAGTCTGACTTGAGTTACTAACTACTCCATACAAGGCAAATTGGCAGTACTGTAATCTTATTCTTGTTGTTTCATGAATTGCATTCATTGCTTGTTCTTCAGAACTCATTCTCAAGACCTTTTTTCTCTGATAAAGTTTGAAATTATTCTTGGAATATAGTATGTCATGCTCTGTGATGACAAAGCAGTTTTACTTATTTTTTTTTTTAGTGGAATCTTAATTTACCATTTTATCTCGATTAAGTTATATTCTTCATACTTAAAAACCCATTGTTCTTCATTGGACAGGTTTTTCTGGCTTTATAATATTTAATGCAGAAAATCACTCCATTCTGAAAAAATTTTTTCCTTTTAGACAGGTTTTCTGTAATAATTTTTGTAGCCCTTTTGTCTATTTACTTAAAAACTGTCCTTAGCAATATAGATATTAAATGACTACTACTACATAAAGTTAACATGATATGGCTGAAAATTTTAGACATGCTGGTGCCTTGTATCAGTCACAACTACATATGTTGTGAGTGGACCTAGCCAGCATATGATAAACAAGGAATGATATGTTGACCCATACCTGTGAAAAATTATGGATATCCAGACTATATTTGAACCTATATTCCCACAATGAAAGGCTGACATCTTACCAACAGCAATCCAAAGAAATTATACATCTTAAGTATTCTGAAGAAAATGACAAAGTTTTTTGGCTAGACTTCCTCTCTTGGCAATCAAGAAAAGTTTGAATATGATATTTGAAGTAGTAGTATGTACTTTATCATCAGAATTTTGGAAAATAATATTCAGTATGTCAAGATATAAAAATGTAGAGAAAATTGAAAAACTTCAAACATCTTTTGTTGATTCTGTCCATAAAAACAATTAGATGATAAGCAGCATCTTCACAATAGGGTGCGTTAATCTATTCAAGTAATTAAATTTACAGTGAAAGCTCTATACATTTAACATTATCAAATAAAATATTTTTTATTTGTTACTCTCTTAATAACAAGAACAACATTATTATAAATTAACAGGTCTTTAGTACAGAAATATATCAGAATAAATGATACAAAACAGAATTCGATTTAGACATAGAAAATAATGTCAAAATATGATGTTAAGTTTAAATGTTCCAACAAATAATTGATAAGCAAGAGATTAGATTTTACAATTTCCAAACAAAACAGTTTAATGAAAACCAGATAATGAAAAAATTATTAAATACATTTTATTACTTTAAACTTCAAATGACTTTTTGAGATTTAAGAGTTCAATTTTTGAGTCAACTTTTTCTCAAATTTCTAATGACAAGTGTGAAGTGCTTCTGATGACAAGTTTATAACTCATTAGCAGAAAAGGCCTACAGAGAATTAATAAAAGTTCTAAATTATCATTAACTTACAATATTCTATACCAGGAAAAATTAATTTACATTCATTTAGTCATAAGACCCTATTTGTAATAATTTGGAGTCATATCTTGATTTTTATATTTTTTTGTTGACTCATGACAACAGACATGCAGCCTAAAAGAAACCAAATTTTCTAAAGTTCTCACCCCAAGAAAAAGCAATTGAAGCTGAATTTACACTTGAGCTATTTTTCTAAAGTAGAATGTCATTTAGAATTGAAATTTAAAGAATTTCATATTTTCTCAACATCCAAAATAATATGAAAATCTATTTAAATGTAGATGCATGACTATAGAAAATATTTCTGCATTACATATAAAAAGACTAGAAAAAATATATATAGAAACGAAACTGCCAACTTTCAAAATAATTTGGAACAAAATTTTCACTGCTTCATTTTTAAATTTGTGCCAAATTTTTTCACACAATAATCTGAGAAAATAATTAGAAACTGTCGATCACAGATTAGAATTTTTCTACATTAGAAAGGGTTTGATAATTTTCTCAAGAAACCAGTTCATGTCTATCTGCAAATGATCTCCAATAGCTTCTAGAAAGTGTAATTTGCCTTGTTTGTCCATCTGTTTTAATCCCAGCCAATCTTCACTATATAACTTACTCTCCTGAAGAGTATGAACTTTCTTGGCTTGTCCTTCATCATAAAATCCAAACCATTCAGAAATTGGTGGATCTACCATAGTGTCCTCAGAAAATCTAATCATCACAAAATTCTTTAATTTCATAAGATTCTCTTTATAAGTTTGATTTTTATTTTTTTCATTATTTATATCAGCCAAGAAGACACTCTTCTCTCTGTACTCCTCCTCGTTTAAAGGATCGTGCCAGTATTCGGCCTGAACTAAGAAGCTTTGCAACCAGTTTGTATAGGCTCCGTAATTAAGTAATTCTCTAACCAAGTTGCAAATGGTAACATTTTCTCCCGGGCAATGCGGAAGGCCGTAAACTCCTTGGTGCTGTCCACCAAAACTAATTAAGTTAAGCATCTGCGGTTGAGGGCAACGTTGCACCAAACCTCTTAAGAACTGTCCTCCTTGAGAGAAGCCAATAGCATTATAACCATTCTTCAACTGAGGATCTTTCTTCAACTGTTCACAAACTTCTTCAATTTGCTTGTTGACGTTTAAAAAGAAAGAATTTTCTATATCTTGGAACATATTTTCACCAATTTTTATGGAGTAAACATAAACGTTAGGGATATTTTTCTCTAAAAATCCTTTAACTTCACCCATGCTGAGAGGATTGCAACAGCTATCGCCCATGCCATGCCATAATACTATGGGTGGTGCGTTGATTGACGTTATCTCATTAGTTTCAAATGCCAAACATAAATAAAGAAAACCCCAAAGAAACAACGACATTACTAACAAACCCATCTTGAAACAGACACGTGACGAAAATGTGACAAAGCACGTGATCGAAATTGATTATTTAATGTCAAATAATCTATTTTCAAAAATTGTTTTTATTAAATTTTAATAAACTTTTGCTTAATTACAAAATTAAAATTTTAATAAACAGTTTATTTATAAAATTGTGAACAATATACTAATAAATATATTAATTCGGCTACACGTTATCCGTAATTGCAGAAATGGCCGCGTAGTGTCGCGTTGTAATTAAAAATTACTTTATATTGCTGAATTAATTAAGTTTGTAAAATTAAATAAAAATTTATTTATTAATCAATCGAGTAAAAATGTTTCTGTTTTCATAATAAATACATTTTTGTATTACCTAATCGATAAACGATTGCACAACTCTAAAATATAAACACATTAAATTTCAAATTATAAATATTGAATAGCCATACAACCGAAAATAAACATTCAATAAACCAAAAATTCTATGAAAACAAAGGAAGAAACATTTTTGTCATAATTATACTCGTTATAGCTCAATTATTTAAGGCGATCTTTTGTTTATGTTTCTATATACACTGTACTGTACTTTTTCTTTACACCAGAGAATTATTAGGCCGGATGTTCATGGCCGCCTACCGCTCTGGGAAACCCAGAATCGATCTGAACGGGTCGAAAAACTCCCAGGAATTTTTAGGGGGGTGGTCCGTTTTTGGATGTGTCTGGCTCCGACCCTCACCACCCAGCCGCCCCATTGTGGACCTGGCCAAACCCATAATGGACTAGCTTAATCTTCATTACAAACAAATTCTGGGAAATGGTTTCCTATTTAGATTTTAATGAAGTTAAGAAAACCCAAAAAACGCACGTGGCCAATCCGTTGACCCAGGACAAAATACCAGCGTTTAGTTGTTTTATTCACTCCACCAAAAGAATAATTATAAACAAAAACACATTTTAGAAATATTTGTGATTTCTTCTGCCGGGTGAAGTTAGTGACAGAAAATAAATTCCATTTCAAGCCACGGAACCATCGTCAAGGTCTCACCCTTCTCCGTGGGTTTTTTGTTTGTCCAGAAACCCCGTAATGTCTAGGCAGCATCGACATTACGGGAAAAACTGGAATCACGCCATTTCCAAAGCACAAATGTCTATAATGGATTCGAAAGTTTGTTTAAAATAATTATTGCAGATTGGAACGATGCATCAAAAGACCATCGCATCGCACTATACACTTGCTTCTGATGGTTTGCTTACAAGCTTTCGCACACAACCTCCTATGGCAGGTTTCTTTTGACGCAATGTATATACAGTAGTGTGTTATATTTATGTATCGGCGGATGAAATACTCTTCGATGCAGATAAAAGTGAAATCATAAGTAATCAATCAGCAATACGATAATTATGGACACATACTTCCCTTTGGATTACTTGAAACCTGAAAATGAAAAGATTCCACATTAATAATAACTCTTGCAATTATCAAAGAGTGGATTTACACTTATCTTTTCGTTATGAAGACATCGCCTATTTTAAACTTTAAATATTGAAAGCACATAATAAGAAAAGTAGCGGAAATTAAACCTGAAGATGAATTTTCACCAACAAAAGAATTCTAACAAATGGGATTCATTGTTACTTCATATTCATTTCTGTAGCATTGTTTCAATTCAATTGTTTTTCTAGTTACTCGTTTTTTAAAATAAAATTACTTAAATGTGACATATACATAAATAAATTCAATTAGTTCAAATAGTTGAAAATACTAAAATATGATTTTATTTATGAAAATATTGCATTATTTTTGTGTTTTCGAATGCAAGTCTTTTATAAACTACGTAGTATACAAGTCGCGTGGTTTTTATGAAACATTAGAAACGTAGGTGTAAAATGAAAATACAGTAGAGTCTTTGTAATCCGGCATAAATCGGATCGGCGGTATCGGATTACTGGATTTTACATTTATGTATTGTATGTGCAGTATAGTAAAAACACACTCAATTTACATATTTGGGTATCATATTATAAATTTCATCAACACTGTTCTACTGACTTGCAACAATCAACTAGCGACCGGCAGCATACGCTTACTATCGTTGCATGTAACATCAGTCTCTTACATGCAACGACAATCGGTAACACGAAAATTTCACTTGCGCTGTTCTGCAAAGTGTCGAATTACTGGACGAGTCGGATTGGCGAGTGACAGACTATAAAGACTGCACGGTAGTTCATTGTTTTAGTGTTAACTGAAAATAAAACATTTCACATATTTTATAATTTATTTTTTAAAAGTAATGTCGAAAGTAATGTGACATTTTCACTGTAAAACAAATAATGGAAAAGTGCCGAGTTTAATGTGGATGTTCACTAGCTCTATGTAGATTTTCAGCAGGCTTAAAATAGTGTGTAAAAGAGGTCCTTGTCTTAGACTTTGATAGATGTGGAATTTCCATCTAAATGAATCAGATTCGTTCAAATGACTCTCACCAGTACGAAATGTCAAATCAAAGTAGAGGGAAACCTCACTAAAGTAGTTGAAATTAATTAAGGTTTGCGGCGTGATGATGTGTTATTCAAACTGCTGTTTAACGTAGTTCTGGAGAGAGTGATGAGAGGAGTGGAAAGCAATCTTTACCAACTGGCAATCTCTCAACTGTGTTAGCCAAAATTTAGCTTATGCCGATGACGTTGGTATGCTGTCCCCTGGGAGAGTTGGAGGAAAGATTGGGTAGATTGGAAAATGAAACGGACGAATTGGGGCTTCGTGTGAACCACAGTAAAGCGCAGTACTTGCTGTTTTCTAGGAAAATTGTTGAGAGGAAAGACAAATACATCAAGTTAAACTGTGTCAACGACAGTATGTGAGATGTGAGCAAGTACGTGGAGTACTGGTAACTAGTGGTAACAAGAAAAGATAAAGTCAAGGATCTCAGCGGGAAATAGAGATTACTGGGCTCGATTAGAATTTTTAAATCCTGTAGCCTGTGTAGAAAATTGAAGGTGGCTGTTTATCGCAGAATTATTAGACCTGTGGTGGTGTATGGTTCGGAAACACGGACAATGGCTGTGGAAGAACTCTTGAGAAAATGAAATAGAGAAATTCTAAGAAAGATATTTGGGCAGTGTGTGAGGCGGGACAATGGAAGATGAGGAAGAACAGTGAATTGGTAGAACTGTATGGTTATACCGATAGAGTTTTGGAAATAAAGAGTAACATATTGAGATTGTTGGGGCATGTTGACCGAATGTCAAAAGATAGAGCAGCCAAGAAAACGTATAAAGGAAATACGGTGGCAGAAGATGTAGAGGAAGACCACGGAAGCAACTGCTACATGATGTGGAGGATGATTTGAGAAAGATGAGGTCGGTGATCAAAGGAAACGTGCAAAAGATCATATAGATTGGACTGCGATTTTCAGAGAAACCAAGACCCTACAAGGGTTGTAATGCCGAGTGGTAGTATATTATGAGAATCTGGGGTTTAAAAAGTTAAAAAAAATTACAAAATGTATCAAAAAAATAAAATTATTTTATAACAGGAAAAAAATGAAAGGAAAATTGTTATCAACTTTTACATCTTTCTTTCATTTTCTATGATTCAGAGGACGTTAGAGTTGCTGCTAAATTGAAAGTTAGTCAGAAAATGATTGCATCGGGAGCAAACCCGATTGGTCATATTTTCTGTAAAAGGTGGAAGTCACCTTCACTCAGTGCTTTTAATCATAGTCAACATGCTATTAGCCATCTTGCCTTGGTTCCAGTTCAAAAATTCCTAGCCGCTAGAGATAACCGTCAGATATACTCGATCGGAATAATGTATATATGCAATTCCACAAGAAAAGAAAATATGTTCTCGACAGGTAATATGACAATTTATGTGAGCTCTCTTCCCAGAAACAGGGATTAGGAAGTATATAGCTAAATAATTAGTCCCGCCATATTGGAGTTGTAGTTCATCCGAATTATTTAGCCCTTATAACGAGAATAGCTATGTTTTGAATTTAGTATAATATTTCTACGCATTTATGTATCCAGAATATTAATCCAGATTTACTGTAAATAAATATATGGTTTAGTTATTAAAAGATTTGTCTCCCTTCATTTCGCGCGACGACACGACCCCTCCGCCAATCAAATCAGCCACTCGAATTAGCCACTCTTATTTAAGTTAAATATAACTATATTTTCCACTAAGTTGCAGGTAATTTAATTACTTATTTACCTTAAACAATAAATCTCTCCCATATCAAAATGTACCACAAGAAAATCCTCCTCTTCCTATTCAAGAAGATAACTCGCTAAGATTTCTCGCTACTCATTCATACTGTGGAGCAGTCAAAAAAGACATCAATATTCCATCATAACTTAATAGAGAAAAGCAGCCAAATTCCAACTATTAATCTGGAGGAAATTAGGATAATAGGATCTATATTAAATCCTGAAAGATGTATTTATATTAAAGAAATTAATTCATTTATTAAATTAAATTTTCTAACGATTAAAAAAGATTAAACCGAAAATCAATGGCAAAAACACTATATCTTTTTGCATTTAAGTATAAAAATAGTCAGACTATCAATAACAATATATCTGTTACGTTTGTATTTATCGATGTATATAAATGAATGTATTATGTCATGAACAAATTTGTTGTAAGGAGAAGCAATTGCGTCAAGAGATATTTAAATTCTTTTTGATTTGAAAGTTTTAAAAATTAAAGTAAATAAATAAACTCTTGTAGAAATTTTGCATTGCACTGATGAAGTATAATTTTAAAGGATGGTATCATTGAATAATAGATTACTTCGGCGAAACAATCGATATGTGTTTCTTGCCTTCAGGAAGAAAATACATTAATATCTGATTTTATTTCATTTATTTTTAAACACGCAGTTGGAATGTCATTTAAATCGGTATTACATTGAAAGTATTATTGTCGTGTATTAAATAGGTACAAAATTCGATTTTACTTTACCGGGTTTTATATATCGATATAACAGCCAGGAAAGTAAAATTGAATACACTTCATAATAGACTATGCCGATCAG